AGTGACTTGTACTGCAGGACTCAGAGCCAGGACCTGTATCGAAGTCTCCTGATTAGTGGTCATGTCCTCCACTTCATACTCCAGGAGATCTGGGTTTCTTAGAAGTACCGAGATAGATCTTTGTACATGCTGCATACGTGTTCTCCACCCACCCCCAGCCAGGGGACTGAGAGAGCCCCTCCTCCGCTTCCTCGCCTGCCCTCAGCCCTCTTCTGGTCTCCCAAGCTGTAGCGAGGGGAAGCATGGAGCACCCCAGATACACTAGGAGGGGATACTCCGGGAAGGGGCACCCCCTGTGGTCCTTTCCAGTTGCTGGGAGACCAGGAGCAGCTTGTTACGTTGTTCTTTTTCTTTGGGACGGGGTGCTAGGCCCAGCCTTCCCCACCTCCTACTCTTAAGAAATAAGCATCCTACAGAGTATCTCCTGGGCTCCATTTGAGCCGATTTGGAATCCAGAGCTTCATGGCTCTTGCCCCTTCTTGGGTCTTTTGAGCTCTTCTGCTGTGGTTGGTGACTGGGCTGCACCATGCTGGGGGACCCTTCGTGTAGGTGCAGTGGCCTTAGAAGGGCAAAGCAGAGCTGCCTCCTTTCCTCTTCCCTTCCCTGCCCTCACCTCCTGCCCTGTCCCATTGAGGAAGGGAGAGAATAACTTCTCTAGTCACAGGATTCCAGTGCTGGAAGGGCCCTGAGTGGCAATGTAATCCCTGAGACAAGAGTGTCCCCCCCCCCACCAGCATCCCCAAGTGATCAGCCAGCTTTAAAAGCTTGAGAGCTCTCCAGCCAGAGGGTATGATATTTCTGAGACAGCCCATTCCACTACAGGACAGCTCAGACTGTCAGGACATTCTTACTGACCTCTGCCCTGCCTCCTGTCACTCTTCTTTTTCCTTGGGCCAAATGGAAGAAATCGGCCCCCTCTTCCACATGATGCTGCTGGAGACAGGTACTTCAAGATGGCATCTGGTCCCCTGAGTTCTCTCCTCTCCAGGCTAGAGATCCCTAAGACCCCTGCATTACAGATGAGTGAACAAAGGCTCTGAGGGGAAGAAGGGCTGATGGTGTCCCCATGAGGAGTTAGCAGCAGACCCTGATTCAGATTGAGGCCCCCCCCCCCAACCCATCCGACCCTGTTGGTCCAGCTGTCCTGCCAGGAACTACAGAGACCTGCCCTCACTTGACCTCCTTTTGCTTCTCCAGCTGTAGATCCCTAGAATAAATGTGTTCATTAAGTTTGTGATAATGCAGCTAGAATGTTGATTTTGTCGGGGTACAGCCTTATTTTAAGATAGGTTCAGAGTCCTAGAGAAGGGAAGCATTTGTTGAGGTGACACCTAGGCAGTGCGGAGGAGCCAGGAAGAGAGAGAGAGAGCAAGAATCTGTCCTCCCATGTAGTGATTTGGTGCCTTTTCTTAAGTTAAAGATTCACATGATTCTGCCTGTAAAAGTCCAGTTACAGCAAGAGAATGAGATGAGGCTGACATCTGGGTTAGCGTGTAGAAATGAGATTTTTGTTGGGCTCAGATATAGGTCGGTATTTGCATATGTGTGTATGTGTATGTGTGTGTCTCTCTGTGTGTGTATGTGTCTCTGTCTGTATGTGCATACACTGCCCTGAAGTCCTGGGCAGGAGGGGGGATGGTGTAGGCCTGAGACACTGGCACCTGCCCACTTTGTGTTCATTGCTGGGGAGACAGATGGAAAAACGAGTTCCTGCCCTCCAGGCCTTTACAGTCAAATGGGGTGGAGAGAGGGGGCAGAGGGGAGCTCAGGAATCTGCAAAGGGAGGTCCCAGGTAACATCTCCCCAGGCAGGTTTCTGTGGGGTTGTGTGGAGCTTGCAGAGGTCCTCAGTGCAAACCCGGTGCCCTGGGAGCATGCTGGTGGTTAATTTGTCAGCACTGTACTTCTAATAAAGTGCTGCTTTGGGAGAGGATGAAAGTGAGCAGTTTTTGACTGACAATTCATTTTGGTTAGAAATTCTTAATAGGAAAATTAAGGAGAAAAAAGGATTTTTGTCCTGAAACATAAGATCATAATTCTGTTCAAGAGATGTTTGTTAAACATCCATAGTGTGCAAGGTGCTGGGTTCCAGAGACCTTCCCCTCAGGGAGCTAACATTCTCTCGGGGTGGCCAAGGCTGTGTGGTCCACGGTGTGGAATGGAATCCTGAGGTAGGAGCCACGGAGACCAAAAGAAGAACCACCATGTAAGGAGGAAAGACACTCACTTGGGGGGAGCCAGACAGGTACCCTAAGCTGGGGGCAAAAGCCAGTTGGGAAAAGTACCTGCTTTGCAGGAAGCAGGCAGTGTAAATAGGAGTGTACCCATTTTACAGATGAGGAAGCTGAGGGTGCTATGTGACATGTGGGGAAGGACATGAGCTTTGTATCCTGGTGCAGCTATATACTGCCAGGTCCAGGTGCCCGTCAGGAGCTGGGCAGGTTCCTCCTCCCGTGTGGACTGCACGGCCTCCCGGGGCCCTGCCCGCTCTACGTCGTCTCCTCCGCAGCCTCACTTAGGCACACCAGCGAGTATCTGACCCGGGCTGTTGCATGAACTGCGTCTCTTTAATTATCGATCTTTAAGGCATTTCTTTGTTGGTTGGAGCCAGTTCCCCTGAAACAAGATGGCGGGTTGCTTTAATGCTACAGAGAATTTGAGTGCATGTGGTTTGTTTTTTCTTCCTTATTGGAGGAGCCTTGGCGAAAAGTTCAGGAATGGGGGGGGGTGCAGGGGTTTACTTTCAAGCCATGGTGCCCACTTTCCTTCCTCTTCTCACGTGTGGTGAGTGTTGATTCTGGATCAGCTTTGTCGGCAAACGCCGCTGGGTGTGTGGTTGGCTCAGGCGACTCTGTTCCTCAGTTTCCTGATCCAGCAGTGAATGTTCAGAGACTGGGCTGGAGGCAGACTTTCTAAGCAAAATGAAATGGCAAGCAGCCCCTCTTTGATCTCAAAGCATCTCAAGCTCATAATTTGACTTGATTATTGGAAAACTTTGGCATGGGCTGAGCTGAGGTCAGTCACTGGTGTTGCTCGGGTGCTCTGAGGTTCACTTTTCTTGCAGCGGCCCTGTGAGGTACAGAGCAGAAGTGTGATCGCTCCCATTTCCAAGATGGGCAAACTGAGGCTTCCAGGAGGACTTATCTGCTGCTGCACAGTTGCTAAGTGTGGTCTGAGGGCACCTGCCTCTTCCTGAGCCCACAGACCGTAGCCCGCCAGGCCCTTCTGTTCTGCAAGACCTCTTGAAGTCTGTCCAAGTCGATGTCTCAAGTTTGTGCCTCTGGGGCTCGTGCAGGAGCTTGGGGGTCCATCAGGGCTTCAGGATCCACCTTTGAGACAAGCATTTCTCTTGTGCTTCCTGGGGTCACTCATTTGGTCCTTATGACAACCCTGAGTGAAGGGTGCTCTTATTATCAGCCCCATTTTCCAAATGAGGAAACGAAGACAGAAAAGGTGAATGATTGTGTCTGAGGCAGGTTTCGAGCCCTGCTCTTCTGACTCCCAGTCTGGGGCTCTCTCCACTGAGGCCCCTCCAGCTGCCTAATGAGTTGAATATTCATAGAGCTGAGTGGTTGTAGTGGCCCTGGTATTGATCTATGTATTTTTTTAAAATATTTATTTTTATTTTAGCTAGGCAATTAAGTGACTTGCTCAGGGTCACACAGCTAGTAAGTGCCAAGTGTCTGAGTCTGGGTTTGAACTCAGCCTCCTGACTCCAGGACCAGCGCTCTATCCGCTGCGCCACCTAGCTGCCCCTTGATCTGTGTATTTTGTCTGTACTTGTTGATGGACATGGTCAGAGCAGGTGCTCGGGGGCTGTTTCCCCACAGCTCTGGGTCGCAGAGCTGGAAGGGACGTCCCTGGGGGTATAGCCTGCACCCCCCGGGCTGGGGAGACTGAGTCCTGGCCCTCTTCCGCCTGAGGCCTTTTCTTTCACTTGTCCTCCCCCAGCCCAGACATTGCCCCGCCTCCAACTGACTTTTGACACATGAACTGCTTAAAGGAAGAAGCCTGTTTTTCGGTTCCTTTTGCCCAGCACCAAGATTTGGAGAAACTTGAAGAATTTTCCATTAGTAAATGTGTTGCTTTCTTCTTTGTCTCTGCTCTGTCGTAACCTGACACCCCCCTCCCTGCCCCCCCAGAGGCTCATTGATGTTGGAACTGCTAGGGAGGCCTAGACAGCCGCAGGGCACCCGATCAGGGGAAAGCCACCTGTGCCCTCCCCTGGCCTGGCCGTGGTGGGTGAGGGGCAGGAGAAGTGTCCTCCTTCCCTGGGGATGACAAAGGCCCAGGGCACCCAAAAGAGGACCCAAGCTGTAAAGAGAATAGACAGCAGCCTCTGAGGGGGAAAGCTACTGTAGACATTGTCTCCATTTTACAGATGAGGAAACTGAAGCTCAGAGGACCTTCTCCAGCAGGGTCACGTAAACTGGGCGCAGAGCTGTGGTATTGACTGCATCCCATACTTTTCTGGACCCCCTGTCCCTTGTGACCTGTACATGAGCCTTCACAGCCTTGACCTTATTTGCTGGTCACAGTGCTCTGAGGTGGACGGGTTAAGTGAAGGGAAAGAGGCTCGTGGGTCAGGTGACCTGCAGCCCTCCTGACCACACCGCAAGGAAGTGGCCCAGTGAGAGTCAAAGGATGAGTAACAGCTTTCAGCTTGGACGTGGGTCGTGTTTGGAAAGGGCAGGGGCTGACTTTGTGGGTTGCCAGGGTGCATGGCTGCGGGGAGGGTTCAGGCCCCCTGACATCCCCCCAGCAGCTTGGTGTGTGGGCCAGGAGACGGACTGCCCGGGTGTGAGCACCCCGAGCTGGGTGGTGGTGCCGGGAAGAAGGCCTGGCTCAGGACCCTGTGATGTCCCTCATTATTAAATGTGACATGGAAGATGCCCCAGTGAGGCCCGAGGAGTCCTTCTGGGTCAGAAGGCTTCAAAGAGGTTTAGCTATGTTAGAAAAACTTAGAAAAAGCCAAGCAGTGTTGGCAGCCTGAAAACCTACTCAGGATTTCTTTTGTTTGCCACTTCAGGAGACCTTCCCACAATGGTCACTTAGCTCCCAACTTTTACACTGGGCACCCTGTACATAAATAATGTTTGAGCACACATCCCCAATGTGCGTGGTTATTTATGAATTAGAGACATGGGCCAAGCTGCTGCTAAGCGTGGCTGTTCCAAAACTTCCACAGAAGTAGACATTAAAACGGAGGAGCCGGCCGTGTTACAGGGTGCCTCTGCAGTTCAGTGAGTAGGCACGTGGTCGGATATGCGTGTTGGTGACTGACTGCATTGAAGTGGGGAGAGGCTGGACAGCCAAATGAGTGGAGAGTCTGGGCCAGCGGGGAGCTGGGGGGCATTTGATAGCTGAAGGGACACAGGAGGGAGGGAGAGAGAAGGGTCACAGATGACCCTGGGCTGACCAAAGGGTGGAGGGGAAATCGAGAGGGTGGTTTCAGGGGAAAAATAATGTAATGAGAGCTGTGATGCCGATTCCGTTCTTTCCATCCCTTCTCATCCTGTCTGACTCATTCTGCCTCCCCCAAAATGAAAGGAATGAAGAGAGGCAGGGCTTTCACCGTCACTGCCGAGAGCTCAGAGGCCTCCCTCCAGGGCCCCCTGGACAGCCAGAAAGGGATGGAGGGGCAGCTCTAGCTAGGAGCAAATTTAAAATGTCTCATTGAGGACCGTCTTGCTGTGTTTCCTCTGGCACAACAGCCAAATTGCTAGCAGTACCTGTGCAGCTACTGCTGTGGGTGCCCAGGAAAGGGAGATGTGGGCCCTCTGTTGCTGGGGAGGGGGGGCAGTTTGACCTGCCTTCCTACCCACTAATTGGCTGGCTGAGTCCCATGGGGTCAGACCCCAGCCCACTTGGGCTCAGGCTGCAGGCCTACAGAGCACTTTCCTTCCAGCCCAGAGTCCTTCAACACTTTCCCAGGGTCCCAACGGGATTCAATCCCAGACCCACCTTGACTTCAGGCCCACAGACCCTCTCTCCATTGATGAGAGTTAAACCCTTGGGTTCTGTGCTTCAACTGAATCAAGTGCTGTGTGGACGTTGGAGAGTGACTCATTAGGCCAATCACAATTAATGGCTGACATTTTTCTTCCAGATGTGCTTTGACTGTGGTGCCAAAAACCCCAGCTGGGCCAGCATAACGTACGGGGTGTTTCTCTGCATTGATTGCTCCGGCACACACCGCTCTCTTGGGGTTCACCTGAGCTTCATTCGGTAAGTGACCTTTGCCTTCTTGGTTCTGGCCCCCCTTGGTGGTTTGCTTCTTTTTTTGTTTTTGTTTTTGTTTTTAGGCAATTGGGGTTAAGTGACTTGCCCAGGATCACACAGCTAGTAAGTGGTCGAGTGTTTGGTCTGAGGCCGGATATGAACTTGGGTCCTCCTGACTTCAGGGTCGGTGCTCTATCCACTGCACCACCTAGCTGCCCCTGGCAGTTTGCTTCTGGGCTTGCCATGGTTAGAGTCGAGAGATTAAAGATGGTTCTAGAGGTTCTCATTTGAGTGAGTGAGTGAATGAATGAATGAATGAATGAATGAGTGAATGAATGAATGAATGAATGAGTGAATGTTTTATGCAGCGCTTCCTGTGTGCAGAGTCCTGTATTAAGCGCTGGGGCTACAGACAGAAGAGTCAAAAAGTCCCTGCCCTTGGGTTGGGAAGTAGTGCGCGTGTGCGCGCGCGCACACACACACACACACACACACACACAGAGGATTCTTCAGCTGCCAGTCTGGGCCTTAGGGGGCACCAGCCAACCCCCCTGAAGTCGTTTCCTCTGACGAATCTTATCTGTTGTTAACATTGAAGCACCCAATAAGCTGAGGACTTTGGTGGCAGGACAGTTGGACATGTGTGGGGGTCTCTTGTCAGGTGTACAGCTCAGTGAAAATGGGAGTGGGGGCCTATCAGAAATGTAAAGAACAGCTCTCAGCCCCTCGTGGGAAAGGACCAGCTTGTCCATTTTTACCTCATGATCTCACCGGAGCAGACTCCTGTTAGTGATGGTGAAAATCTGAGCCCACCCAGCCTGGCCTCTAACTTGCTGTGTGTCTTTGGACAATGCATTTCCCTCTCTAGGCCATCGGTTTCTTCCCTTTGGACTAAACGATCTCTAGGGCCCTCCTCGATGTGAGCTCCAGGAGCAGTGTCACTGAGTTCTATGGGGACAGGTCCTGTGCCCAGGGAGGGGGCCCCATCAGTGTTTGGGGGATGCAAGTCTGCGTGCACACAGTGGAGTCTCCCCTTGGACCCTGTGCTGGGGGATGCCAGAAGGACCTCATCCTCCAGGGTCTCATTTCTAACAGGGTCCCTGAGGTCAGTGTGATGGATGGCCTCACCCTCAGGGACTGTTCCCGTGCTGTGGCATCTTCCATAGCTTTCTGTTTCATCTTGAGGTCAATGTGTGGCATCTGACAGGCTTGGAGAATTAGCCTCCAGCTCTGCCTTGTTTAATGGCATCAAAGCAGGACTTTGGTGAAGGCCTTCTTAAAATCTATTAGAACACATCACTGAGAAGTGTGAGCCAGGAGTGCCACGCCTTTTTTTCTCTCTGAGAATTGATGGAGACCGAGGTGCCCCCAGGCACAGAATGAGATCTGTTCAACAGTTTTACAAGGACCAAGCAGAGGGCCTGAACGTCAGCTTCTATTGTGTTCTAAAGTGAACACGAAGGTGCTTTTCCATGGGTCAGGGCTTTGGAACAAACAATGGACAACGTAACTATAATCAGGAAGACAAAAGAGGGCGAGGTACAGGAGTGTGGCTTCGTGACCTTTCAGCAGGCTTCTTCACCTGTTGTCTACTGCGTGAAGTCATCTGCTTCTGGGCACATTTTCCTGTGGAAATTCTGTGTCAGGGAGCTGTCCTGCACCACAGCTACCCAGACTCAGATACGTGCATCTGAATCAACGGCTTGGGGTCTTCAGTCGGGCGGCCGTTGTTAACAGGACCTGGAGTGGGTCCCCGGCCTCCTCGTTGCTACAGACTTTGCAAAGGTGTTTGTTCCATTAGATTGACTTTCCAACTTCCAAGCCACTTGTGGAGGTTTCTGAGGTAATGACACTTAAGCCAGCTTGTGATGAGCCTTGGTGTCATTTAGGAAGTCGTTCAGGGGGTGAAAGCCAGTAGAAATCGTCAAACAAAGCTGTCTGTTAATATAGCGGGAGACTTGAAAAGCTTCCCTTTCCACGATTGATTTGGTCTCTCTCTCTTTGCTCGTGCCCTCATCATTGCAGCTGATTTGATGCTGGCTATAGAGCAGGCAGCGCTTCTTAAATGGCAGGCCAAGACTGAAGGGGTCACGAGTGGAAAAAGTTTAAGAAGCCCTGGACTAGAGGAAGGGGCTTTAAACGTCTTTGAGGAGCTGACTTTGTAAAGATAACTCCTTTTTTCTCTTGATATTATCAGAGATCCCTCAAACAGGAAAAAAAAAATCATGATTTAAAACTTTCTGTAGAACTAATTAAAGCCACTATATAGGAGAGCCTCAATCCACCTTGAGACTTTATAGACCATTTAGATCCTGTCCCGAGCCCGGTGTTGAGGCCTTTGGAAATGGACCTGTAAGGATGAGGGTCCTTTGCTTTGCTTCTTTAGTCACACTCTCTCTTTCCTGCAGGACCAAATTTAAAATGTCTCATTGAGGACCGTCTTGCTGTGTTTCCTCTGGCACAACAGCCAAATTGCTCAGGCTCCAAAAACAGTTACAGTTATCAAGGGTCCTTTTAGTATATTCTTGTACCTAATGGGAAGGGTTTGGTAGCCAATCGCGTATGTAAACAGTCTGATCTTACTGATTTTCTCAAACTGAAGTTTACTAATCCATTAAAATGAAAGTTTTTACATCTTTGTTGTTGTTTGATTGTTTTTAATTGTGTCCATCTCTTTGTGACCCCATTGGGGGTTTTCGTGGCAGAGATACTGGAGTGTTTGCCGTTTCCTTCTCTAGCTCATTTGCAGATGAGGAAACTGAGGTGAACAGGGTAAAATGACTTGCCCAGGGTCACACAGCTAGTGAGCGTCTGAGGCTGGATTTGAACTCAGGAAGTCTTTCTGACTTCAGGCCTGGTGCTCTATCCACTGCACTACCAGCTGCCCATCATATCTTTGAAGCGGTCAGCATTATCAGAAGCTGCAGAGAAAGTAGGAGGAGGAAGGCTTTAAAAGCCCCTGGGTTTCCATTCAAAGATGATTGCTAACCTTGGTTTTGGCAAAGGGCACTGAGCTGGGAAGGAAGCTTGATTACCAGGACGTGAGAGGGAGTGGGTGACGAGGCGGCAGGAGGGGCCAGCTTTTGAGGACGTGGGGGCCCATGTCGTCAGGCTTGAGTTAGCGGTTTACCTCGATGCTTGTGTTGGGAAACATTTTTACTGATGTTTTGTCTTTATTCCCATTGTTCCATTAGGGTTGCTGAAACGTTTGGGGTGTACATAATTGTTCTTGAATTGGATAAGGCTGAAAAAAAGCTCACTGCAAGTCAGTCAGGAAGCGTGAAATGCCTGCTGTGTTCCTGGCACTGTAACAAACAGGAGAAAGGGGCTGAAATGCCCAGCCAGCCCCCCTCTAGCCATGTGCCCCCGCACTTCAGAGACAGAGAGCGAGGTCTTGGATCAACCGTGCAGTCAGTCAGAAGCCATTTCTGAAGCCCCTGCTTTGTGCCCGGGGGCAGTGGCAGCTTTTGGTTCCCTTGTTTCTGTAGCTGAAGCTGCTGCTGGCAGAATTGTGTCCAGGCCGTCAGCCCCTGCCCCTGGAGCGCTCTCCCAGGGCCTGCTGAGGCCCCAGCGACACAAGCCCAAAGAACGGTGGGTTTTGCTGGTGCTGTGGTCTTGCCTTCAGCTCAGCCCGAGGGAGTCTCCCCTGCTTCTCTGGAGTCTTCCCCTCATCTTCCTAGTCATCCTTCTTAGAATGCAGTCTTGGTCGTTGCCTCGCCCCACCCAGTGGCCATCCGCTTGGTTTCCGGTTCCTTGTCCTTTTGTACGGATCTTGTCTGTGCCTGTTTATTTACCTGGTGTCTCCCCTGTTAGACTGTGAGCTCTCTGAGGGCAGGGCATGTGTTTCTGCTTGTCCTTGTGCTCCCAGGGCTTAGCACAGTGCCTGGCACATAGAAAGCGCTATATAAATGTTAACTGTCATTATCATTCATAGTTTTCTGCGTGGCTGTATTATTTAAGTTTTAAAGGCCAGACCGAATCATTGCCCACCTTCTCTTGGGACCTTCAGAAGGCATATCTAGCCAGGAAAGGCCACGATTAAAGGGCATCTTGACAGGACCTGCCCTCGGCATCTTCCTGGCTCTTGGTCAGCTCTCTGACCTCTCTCCCTTCTCTTTAGGGCCAAAATGGCAGAGGGGAGCTGTTGGTTTTCTTGCTTATTTAGGTGTAGATAGTGATGCTATCTAGAATAATCCCCTGGTCATTTGGCCACAGTAGGTGCTCAGGCCGCTTTTGGTGAAGGAGAAATGAATAGGCTGCTCACATCTTTCTCATATGTCATCCCGTTCTCATTTAGTGACCTTTCTAATGGTTTGGAGATTGGGATCTGAGTGATTTCTCTGGTGCCAGCCAGCTGGCAGCCTGGGGCTCTTCACTTGGGTTGTTGGTGCTTCACTCCTAGACTGCCCCCTCTTAGCTGGGGGGTGGGGGTGGCAGCTAGAGGCTCTGCTCCCAGGAGGGGCTGAGTAACAGCAACCCTTGGCTCCTCCTGCCTCTTGTCACCGCCGGTTGGGGAAGGGCACTCACCTGGAGGAAGTCAGGCAGGGACTTTCTCCTGCTGAGTAAGAGCCGGCTAGTGAAGGGCTCAGCTGTGTGCAGCAGACGAGCCGGTTCGCAGCGTCCCCAGCGTCCTCTCTGCCTGCCCCTCTGCTCTCCTCTGGGGCTTGGAAGAGGCTCATTGGCTTGGTTTGCCTTCCCTTTCCCAGGATCCTGGGGCCATCTGGTTCTGGACTGGCCTCACATCTGACGTGTAGGTGGACCCCAACACCAAAGCATCAGGGTTGCATGGAGTTCTGAAACTCTCAGAAACCTTCAAGTTACCTTCTCTCGCTCTCCACCTCCCCCACATGATATGGTGCTAAAAAGCTGTGTTAAAGCTGTGAATATTCTCTTCCCTTAGGTCTACCGAGCTCGACTCTAGCTGGTCTTGGTTTCAGCTGAGATGCATGCAAGTTGGAGGGAATTCCAATGCTGTAAGTTTCTCTGGGGGTGGGAGGGAGGAAGGAGTGACTGTTTCTTTGACCGTCCCCCTAATAACTAAGGGAGGCTAAACATAGAATGTCATTTGTGTTTCACATGTCAGATAGAAGTTTACAGAGCGGGGCATTTCAAGGGTCAAACCCAAGGGCATGACAGATTTCCACATCATGACCACATCTGAAATCTGCAAGGAGGCTTAGCCCCCTGGGGGCCCTTTTTTTTTTAATTTTTTATTTTTAACATGTGTTTTTAAAACTTTGGGTTACAAATTTTCTCCCTTCCTCCCTCCCCACCCACCCTCATTGAAAAGGCAAGCATCTCAATACAGGTTATAGATGTGGAGTCATGTAAAACACTTCCATAATAGTCCTGTTGTGAAAAACTAAGTATATTTCCCTTCATCCTATCCTACCCCCCATTTATTCTATTCTGTCTTTTGACCCTGTCCCTCCTCAGAAGTGTTTGCTTTTTATTATCCCCTCCCCCAATCTGCCCTCCCCTCTATCAACCCGCCCCTTTTCAATAGAATGCAGCCTCCCAGATGGTGATGATCTGAGAAGATGGAAGAGGATTGGGTTGGGGGCTGATGTCATGCTCAGCACTAGCATTTCCATGCACCCATGCACATGTACATGCATATGTACACACACACACACATATATATGCACACACACATACATACACAGCGCTTTGAGGTTTCTACTTTGAATAGATTCTGACTTTGGAGCTCTTCTCATCTCCAAATTTGCTCAACGTTTGGACTTCCCCCAGATACGGGGCAGCCAGACAACTCTGATCTTTCGGGGGGGCTCTGGGACTCCATTCACTCTGGGGGTACTGGAGAAGGCCTCAGAGTCCTGGACCCTCAATCAGGGATGGAACGGCTAACAAATCATTAGCTAAAAACAGCTCAATTCCAAGATGGTCAGTTTCCTTCTGCAGAGGTTCAGCTTCCAAAGTCAGAATCTATATATAGGTGACCAAATTAATTTTAAATTAATTTATTTATAACCCCTGTTAATTAGATGGACATTTGTTTTATCTTGACTTGAGCACGTTTTACTTCAAGTTTGGCGGAATTTAAGGTGTAGAAATGGTAGGAAGCTCAGAGTCTAGCTCCAGTACCAAGGAAGATCTAAAGCCACCCGAAGCCACAGGAGGAGGCTCTGAGGGGCTGCCTCGCTCACCGCACTCAGTCGGACGCCTTGGCCTTTGGCCATGCTCGGTGTAGGGGAAGGTTCCAGGACAGCCCTTCGCAGCATTCGCTAAGGCATAGCAGGGGAGAGAGGCTCAGGGTGGGTTGTCACTGATAGTAATGGCAGCTGGAGAAGAATGGAGTGTGAACAGGGGCCCTGCTGTAAGCTGTCCACTTTCCTCAGCATGGGAACTTCCCTGACTACAGAGAAGAAGGCCCGTGGACCTCCTGCCCATCTCAGGAAGCAGCCCTAACTCGGGAGTCACAAGACCTGGGTTCAGGTCCTCCTCTGATGCCTTCTACCTGTGTGTCCTTGGGCAAGTCCCTGAACCTCCCTGGGCCTTAGTTTCCTCATCTGTAAAATGAAGGAGTTGGACTAGCAGATCTCCAAGGTCCCTTCTGGCTCTAACTCTGTGATTCTGTGATCATTCAAATGGACCAGCGGCTGGTTCTAGAGTCTTGAGAGGCAGCCGGCTCCGGTGAAGGCAACAGGCGCTCCTCACAGGGTCATCAGCCAAGGGCTGGAAAGGAACTTGGGAATTGTCTGGTTGGCCTCTTCACTTCCGGATTGGGAAACTGAGACCCAGAGAGATCCCCAGGGCTCACCCAACATCACCTGCATCTCCTCTGGGTCACCCCGAGCTTTAGAGTGGGCAGGACCCTTGGCCCTCTAGCCCGGTGCATCACTGACTGATTGGGCCCAGTCCAAAGGCCCGTCTGGATCTTTTTGGAGTTGGACTCTGCCTGTCAGCTCTCCCTCCCGCCTTTGTGTTCTCTGCACATTCAGTGACTGTGCTGGCTATACCTTGGTCCAAGTCATTGGTAAAAATAGTCAGCGATAAAGGGACCAGCCCGGATCAGTGGGGCTACTGGATACCTGCCGGGTTGCCATTGAAACATCAGGGACTCCTCTGAGTCTGGCCTTTTAACCAGTTAGGAATCGAATTGCACTCACATCCAACCCATGGAGAGCATGAGCTACTTTACCAAGCACTTCAATAAAATCTAGGTCAGCCGTGCGGTGTTTGCCTGACCTACCAGGCTAGCCATCCTGTCCAGAAAGGCAGTGAGGTTAGGATGGCACGACTGGCTCTGCTGAAGCCAGGCTGGCTCTTTGGGATCACTGCTTCCATTTCTGAGTGTTCATGCTCCCTCTTTTTAATAATATGTTGTAGTATTTTGCCAAGAATTGAAGTCAAGATCACTAGTCTATAGTTTGCAGGCTCCATTCTCTTCTCTTTGAAAATGAGAACCTTGACCCTTCTGCATCCCTCAAGTCCTGCCCCATTCTTCCTGACCTTTCAGTGCCCAGTAAACATTTCTGTCAGTTCTTCCAGTATTTGAGAAGGTAGCTCATTTGGGCCTACTGACCTGAAATGACATCAGCTCCTTGTGAGGAAGGATTGTTTCATTTTTTGTACTTGAATCCCCAGCATCTGGCATGGTGCCTGGCACATAGTAGGTACTTACTAACTGCTCGTCGACTTATCAAGGACAATTAGGTGTTCTCTTACTATCTCTTCCCCGTTAGTCATTTTTGTTCTGTCATTGCTAGGCCAAAGGTGGCTGTCCTGAGCTGGAAAAACAGAAAGCGAGATAAGATTTGAGTCCACACAGTGGCTGTGGGGCTCCTCCATACCTGTCTGTGGTCCTCAGCCTGCTGTGCCCCCCGGGATCCCCTTATCCTGTGGCAGGCCTCTGGCTATGAGGCACCTCCGTGCCTGGCTGTGGTCCTTGGCCTGCCATGCCCCCTGGGCTCCCTCCCTCCCTCCCTTGCCCCCACACTGTAACCTTACCGATCCTTACAGGACCATGGGAAGTGCCCAGGTTCTTTGTTAAGCACCAGGGGTGCAGTTTGACCTTAAGTACCCTATGTGCCTAAGCATGCAGAGATACGTTGTCTTAGTCTCTGTAAACTTTGGGAGCAGAGAAGTTGCTTTGAATCTGTTGATGAATTCTAAATGAATTCAAGGTTTTCTTTTTTTAAACTAAAGAGATTGGATAAACAAAACACATTTTGATTAGTGTCTCCCAACAAGTGAGTTGTGGAATACACATTTTCATGATCTCCTTTCATGGTAAGCGGCAGCTTCTAGTACTGATTTCATTCTCTATTTTTTACAGTCTTCCTTCTTTCATCAACACGGTTGCACAACAAGTGATGCCAATGCCAAGTATAACAGCCGTGCTGCTCAGCTTTATCGGGAGAAGATCAAATCTCGTGCTTCCCAAGCAGCTCGGAAACATGGCACCGATGTGAGTATAGAGGAGGATTCGTGATTCAGACGGGTGTCCCTGAGCGGGCTGCTTTCCATGTGGGCAGAGATGTGTGGCTGCTGGGGCGGTCCTCCAGGGCCCAGCCCCTCAGCCCAAATGCCAGGCCTTCCAAGCCCAGTGGCCTGGCCAGCATGCTGAGCCCATGCTCGCCTCTCTGCCCCTTGTGCTGTGGGATCTTTGCCACGTCTCCTGCCTCGCCGTGACTGACGTTGCGGATTCCTCTTGCCGCCTTGCTCCCCAGCTGCCCTGTTCAGGTCGGGCCTGGGCCGCAGCTCCCAGCTGGCCCTGCGCCTTGGTCCCCACTGCCGCCTGTCACTCACACAGGAAACCTCATCCCACCCCTTTTACACCTTTCCAGCTGACTGATATGCACAGAAGTGGAGCTCACGGCTGAAGCGGCTTTTCAAGATTCCCATCCCTTCCCTGAAATGGAGGAACACCAAATTAATAAGTAGAGATTTAAAGTTGTGCTCTTCTGACCTTGACAGACACCACCAAACACTAGCACTTCCACACACCAAGAAGAACGAGAAAGAGGCCTGCGTGTGAACCCCGTCTCTGTTCCATGCTGTCTTCCCTGCCTGGGCCGCCTGCGTTTCCTTCTCTTCTGAGCATTTAAAAAATGTTCTGGTGCCCATCTTGTCTTTCTTTTCTGCTCCTCTGGGGCCTGTAAGTGCGGGTGAACAGAATTGAATCTTTGACTGTGTTGCGGCCTTGGGCCTGGCCGTGTGAGTGCTGGCTGGTGCTGGGCAGCGCGGTGGTTGGGGAGCTTGCTAAGAGGTTGCTCCTGTTTGTGGAAGAGGGTCAGTCCCAGCCGGATTGTCGGACTCTGACTGCCAGGTCCAGCACATGTAGAGTCTGGACCGCTTAGACTGAGGGATTTCCGGGCCACCCGCCTGACCGCTCCTCCTTGGTCTTTGTGGCTGGATCTTCGTCCAGGCCATGCCAGTAGCCATGGGTGTCCCCCAAGGTTCTGTCCTCAGCTGCTTTCTTTCTCTTCTCTACACCCTCTGTTTCTCAGTGTTCTCCATGCAGGACATCCATGTCTCTGTGGCCAAGCCTAATGTCTTTCCTGAGTTCCCAGTTCACGTCACTGACTACCTCCTTCATAGCTACGTTTAGATGCTGTGTAGACGTCTCGAACCCAACAGGACCAAAACGGAGCTCCTTGTTTCCCCAAGCCCACCTTTCTGCCAAACTGGCCTGTTTCTATTGAATGGTCACCCGTGCTCTTGGCCTTGGCATCATCCTTGGCCCTTCACCCTTTCTTGTCCCTCCCTGTCCATATCGTCATGGCCACCATGGCTGCTCAGATGCACAGGGCGTCTTGCATCCATCCAGAATAATCTCGTGAACACATATGAAGTGCTTTCTTACTGTGCACAGAACACTGCGTTGGGGGTGGCAATATAAATACAAAAGCGAATAATGGTTTTAGCCTCTTCCTCCACATAGCTCCCAAATCTACTAAAACCACAGATTCTGCCATGTCGTGCCGCTGCTCAGGAATCTTCTGTGGCTCCCTCTCTCTTCTGGGATCAAGTGCTGACTCGTCAGCTTGGCCTCAGCCTTTGCAGATTTATTTGGTGCCCACCCCTTCCTTTTGTGGCTCTGTCCTAGCTAAACTGGCCCCAGACTCAGCATTCCGTCCCTCTCTCCATTCTTTGGTCCGGACTGTCCTGCAGGTTGGGGATGGATCCCTTGCTCACTTCCATCTCTTAGCATTGTTAGCTTCATTTAAGGTTCCTGCTTCCTCCAGGAAGCCATTCTGGATCCCTTCCTCAAATCACGCTCTCTCCATTTACCTATTGAAAAGTCCATGCCATCAGAAGGCCGGCTCCCCATGGGCAGGACGATGTTGGCTTTTGTCTTTGTGTGCCCTGGGCTGCCCAACGCTGCACCTTACGGGTACAAATGGATCGGATGCAGACAGGTCGGAATGAGACGTGAGCCCCAGCAGGAGGAAACTGAGGAGAGAGAAGGACAGAGGCCGATACTCAGGGTCAGAGAGTCAGCCCCACAAGCACCTTTTGGGAGACACACGTACAAGCTGCATGCCTGTAAGAAAAGGCCTGATGGGTTTGGGGACCCCCAAAGCCTTGGAGTCCACCCTGCGATGCTGCGCTGAGAGAAGCTAGCTTCCAGGATGAAGAAGGCGCTCCGGACTTTGCCCTGGGCAGGCTGCGACCAAGCTCTTTGCTTTCAGCGTGGGTGCCCCATTTTAGAGAGAGCTGGTGATGAATGGGGTGAGCATCAGCTGAAGGAAGCGGGGACTACTGAGTCTGCAGAGGAGAAGGCTGTCGTCGGGGAGAAAGATTAAACTCAGGGGTGGCACCAGAGGACCGTCCTTAGGAGCAGGAGAGAGGTACCTGGAGGCGTCCCCACCGCCAGGGCTGCTATCCCCCAGTGGGACGGGCCCCGGCAGAGGGCTTTGTGCCCAGGTGTCGGCTGGGCCGGCTGCCTCTGAGGTCCTGGGGTCAGGGATGGTCCCCGGGGCCTGAGCACTGCCTTGTGTTTCCGTTTCAGTTGTGGCTGGAGAGCTGTGTGGTGCCGCCATCGTCCCCGCAGCAGAAAGAGGAGGATTTCTTTGCATCCCATGCTTCTCCCAAGGTAGGCGATGCGCTCCGCCTCATTTTGTCCAGGCGTTTTGTTTGTTTTGGTTTTTCCCCCGAATGATCTTATTCTTTCATGATGAAGGTCTTCTTTCAAGGCGGCAGCTACATGTGGAGTTTGGGGAACGAGGGAAAATGGCCTGCCCCGCTGTTCTTGGGAATCACCTGCCACACTGGTTCTGAAGGAGGCTGGTCTTTTTCCGTTGCCAGTTTGGGGGCGAGAGCTCTGCTTCAACAGCCGGACCCACAGGGCTCTTCCCCGCTTGGTGCTATCCCTCTAACTTGAGCGGGATGAGGGCGATTGAGAAATATCTGTGTCCATGTAGAGATCGGCTGTTGAGACAAAAACGCCATGTGCGTTTTAAGTGTTGCTCTTCTTTATTCATCCAGCAAGTACTTACTAAAGGCCAGCTCTTCGCAAGTGCTAAGAGCTCTCTTCGCCCTGGGTCTGTGGCCCTTTCTAAAAATTCACTGGAGACAGCTGGGGGCAGTGGAAGGAGCCTGAGTCCCAGGCCCCGTTCTGCCCCTCGCTCCCTGGGAGGCCTTGGCCAGGCATTTCTCTACCTGAGCCTCAGTTTCCTTCTCTGTAAAATGAAGGGGTTGGGTTAGAGGATCTCTGAGATCCCTCCAGCCCTGGGGCGTCCACTGTCCGGGAGTGTGTGTGGCCCCCCGGGGTGAGAACAGGCAGTGCATTATGGGTCTCCTTGCTCTGAACTCTTTGCCCCCTTTTCTTTTGCTGGCCTTGGAGGTGATTTCTGAGGTCTCGCCTCCACACGCTTCCTCCACGTAGTGAAGGCCGAGGTTTTACTCGGAGACGTCACCTTGCCCCCTTTGGGCCACCCTCAGTGCAGCAGTGATCTCATCCTGCTGTGATCCGCTGGGAAGAGATGAGCCGTCTGGGGAGCCCAGCCTGGGGAGAAGGCCGTGGGGACGAGAGACTGCCGCCTGGTTGTTTTAAACAGTGTTTTATTTTGGCTGCTTTGGGGTTTTGCTCACCCATAGCTCTCCTGCTTGCCCCAGGTTAGCGGCCCAGAGTGGACATCAGCACCAACAGAGCCAGGTCCTTTCAGACCGAGTTCTTCAGAAGCCGTAACAGAGAGCTCCGAAGGTAGAGTCGTGGGCGCTTCTGTTTGTAATTAGAACAAAATGACGATTCTGGGAGAAGTGGGCAGCTTTCACGTGGGGCCGGGTGTGTTGTAAATACATCTGTTTAACATTTGTAGCTTTATTTAAAAAAAAAAATTACACAGAAGTCACCAAGAATGTGGATTAGATGAGTCAGACTCTTCCTGCCACCAAGTACTGTGTGTCCCTGAGTATTTTTTATGATCCCGCCTCATGCTGGTACCACCGGCCTTTCTGGTAAGGAAAGAGCCTGGGAATCTTCGAGTCAGAAGGCTTGGTTTGGTTGGCAAAGGGATAAGGAGGTTTCCTGGCCCAGAAGGGACCACATGGGCTTGGCCTGCCCTGAAGGAGCTGAAAGTCCAACATGGGAGGGCCTTGAATGCCACACTTAGAAACTTGTGTGTTTCAAGGCAGTGGGGGCTCTAATTGATGGCTTTGGGGCGGGGAGGTTACGTGGCCAGACCTGTATTTTAGGAAAATGATTTTGACTGTAATGTGGGGGGAGGGTTGGCAGAGGCAGAGACACAAAGAGTGACCAGTTAGTCCACACCATAGTATAGGGCCTGAAGTAGAGGCAGCAGGTAACCTGAGCTAGGATGGTGGCCATGTGAGTGGTGATAGGAGGATTAGAGAGGTGTGGAGGAAGAATTGACAAGATTTGGTCATTGATGATTTACAGTGAGTGTGAGAGAAGAGGCAAGAATAATTAGGTCACATAGTTGGGTGCCTGTAAGGAAGGGTGAGTGTTTGGGGGAAAAGAATAAACTGTTTTGGACATGTTGACTCTGAGGTGCCCGGAAGGCATTCAGGAGGTGTTCAGCAGGCAGTTGGCATCGCAGGACTGGAGTTCCAGAGAGACTTTGGGGATGGATCTGTAGTGTAGAGATGATATTTGGATCCACAAGACCAGATGAGATTGCCAAGGAGAGAGCACTGGGGGGCATCTGTACTTAAGGAGTGAGGGAGGGATGATGGACCAGTGAAGGAGACGAAGGAAAGAGGGGCAGGGGCATGGATGCCCAAGGAGGAGGACAGAGCCAATGTGATTAGACTTTGCAATTAAGAGATAATGAGATGTAAGAGACCAACAGCCATTCCCCAGTAGATTAGTAGCAAACGTGTCTCAAAAAGAATCGAATGGTCTTGGGACCCATGGGAAGTGATGTTCTGAGTCACTCAGAGGGACACATCCGAACAGCTCTGTGGTTTCATGTCTCCCCCAGCAAATGGGCAAAGTGACCGGAGGTGGAAATACTCGATGTTGGAAAGAAGGGCACACCAGTGTGTTGTTGATGGGGCATGAATGGGAGGGCTCTTCTGGAAAGCAGTTTGGAATTCTGCAAGGAAAATGGCTCAATCGTCCATCCCCCTTGACCCAGAGGTAGGGCTTTTAGGCACGCTCCCCGAGGAGTTCGGCGGTAGGATAGAAGTCCCCACCGACGCCCGGATGTCAAGAGCTGTACAGAAGGGGAGACAAGAGCTGCCCAGGAGCAGCTGGACGAGCCAGGCCAGGATGGGCGGAGCCGGGCTGGGCTGGGCGGGGCAGGATGGTATTGGGGTGTACAAAATGGCCAGTGTGGTGAGCAGCGACGTGAGGACTGATGCAGAGGAAAGTGAGCAGAATGAGGAAGATAGGCAGTGGCTGCAGCAGCGTTGCTAGGAAGCTGTGCGCCATCCCAGTATGATGGCCACGCATGCGCCCAGTGAAGACACAAAAGAGCGTTTCCGCCTTCTTGGCAAAGATGGCAGCGACTCTGGGCGTGAAGCCCGATAGGTCAGGCCAGACTTAGCTTTGTGAACCAGGTTTTTCCCTTTTCTTCTGTGTTACAAGGTTGGCTTTCTGGGAAAAGAGACGGAAAGGTGTTGGCAAAGGTTGGTGATGTAAAACCAAAAGCTATCCATAAGGATAATTTTTTTAAAAAGAATCTAAGAGAGAGAGAGAGAGATCCTTGATAACCAGAGTGGGGGAGTGCCAAGTAAACACTGGGCGTAGAAGCTGGATTGCAAGGGTTTGCCGAGGGTAGCGACCTGGAGGGGATGGCAGGACAGAGGGAAGGTCCCTGGGGAGCTACCCTTCCCACCTCATTTTTACAGATGAGGAAACTGAGGCTTGGGGGAGTGACTCAGCGAGGGTCACCTAGGCCGTGAGTGGCAGAGTCAGGGTTGAAGCCCCGTCCTCTGTCTAAATCCAGTGCTCTTCCCCTTGTACCTGGTCAGGCACCTCCCCCAGTGTTCAGCCCAGTGTCGTGCACACGGTAAGTGCTTAACAAGCATATGTCGAACTGAATTCCACGTGATTGATTTCTCCTTGCTGCCAGCCAAACTCACCTGCTCTCTCTCCCTGGACACAACAGTTTATGTCTGGCCTCTGAGCCTTTGGCCCATCCCTGTCCCTACATTGTTCTGCTGCCCTGAATCCCTAACTCCTGCCTAACAAGAGTCCTGTGATAAGGCCCCTCCCCCCCACCTGTTTTCTGTTCCCTTCCAGAAAAAAAAATCACCTCTGTTCACTTCGTTGTACTCATCTGCACATTCCTTCATTTGGGAAGACCTGCATTCAGAATCTGCCTCAGGCAACGGTGTGGCCCTGGGCACATCACTTACCCTCTCTCAGCCTCACTTAAATCCACTTTACATGCGAGTGCAATGTCAGAGGACAAACAGCCATCCCCGTGCCAGAGAATCAAATACGGTGACATCTGTAAAGCTCTGTCAGGCGTGTGATCCACACTCTTGGTGTAGAGCTGGTGCCCCTATCGAACGGGAGCCTTTTTACCTCGAGATGGGGCGAGATGGTCCTTGTGGTGTCCACAAGGCAAAATGGAGGCCTGGGAAAGCTAAACCGGCGCAGGAAGGCTCAGGGGGAGACGGGCACTGCCAGGGTTGGAGGGCCTAGAGGGGCAGCCTGCCAGCAGCTTTGTCTGGGCAGTCACGAGAGTCACACCTGCCTGTGTCTCCTGGCTTAGGCCCAGATGAGCCATGGGAAGGCCAGCCGGGGCTCCCTGAGCCAACTCTCCCAGCACCCTGCTCTTTAAACGGGGCTGCTGCCCCAGGGCAGCGTAACCTGCTGAGCTTTGGGCCCTTTATTTATTCACCTTCCCACAGAAGGGTGTCGGGGACAAACTCCGGGTCTCCGTTGTCTCAAACAATGGCTTTGGCCTCTTTGTTGTTTTTACCCTAGAGATGCCCCCCACCCCTGAGCACTAGAAAGGAACCGGGGGATTCCCTTCAGTCATTTCCAGATTCTCCCTTTCTACAGAACAGAAAATGGCGGTGGTGAATATCTTGTTTTTACATCACCTTCGTTTTCCAGCGTTGGCCTGCGCCATCCGCCACCCTGAGAGCCATTCCTTAGGACAAAGAACAAAATCTTGAGATTGTTGTTAATTTTTCAGTGGTATCCTACTTGTCAGTGCAGCCGTGTGCATCCCTCCCCCCACTGTTAGATGGTAAGCTCCCCCAAGGCAGGAATCGTATTGTTCAAAGAAGAAAGCCCTTATTCCCTTGGGGCTTGTCTAGCTCAGGGTCCCACCACCCACCACTTGGATCTCAAGCTGGGAGGGCACACAGGCACAGGTTGAATCTCACCTGGTGCACTACTCTTATTTCCAAGTCACAGAGGAAGACAAGGAGCATTTCTGTGACCACCCACCTTGGCAGGCAGGATCCCAGGTGGGCTTTGGCCTCCGTCAGGCCTCCTGCTGACTGCCAGGCCCAGGCCAGGGCTCCCTCTCCCCTGGACCATGAGCAGTGGCAGCGCAAGGGCAGACCGGAATATTGTGCAGCCCCCAAAGGGATTCTTGACAAGGTTGAAAACTTGACTCTAGGTTTCATGGATTCTGCTGTCCTTGGTGAAGGTGTCACCACCCAGTCAGGATATAGTGACAGAAGCCGAGGAGGGAGCTGGCACGGGGGTACCCATTACAGGTCAGACTTGCTTCATGGGCCAGTGACTTCCCTTCTCTGGGCCTCAGTTTCCCTATTTGCATTCCTCTTTTTCTTTTTTTTTTTTTCTTTTCGGCTGGGCAATGGGGTTAAGTGACTTGCCCAGGGTCACACAGCTAGTAAGCGTTATGTGTCTGAGGCCAGATTTGAACTCAGGTCCTCCTGAATCCAGGGCTGGTGCTCTATCCACTGCGCCACCTAGCTGCTCTATCCCCTATTTGCATTCCAAGGAGAATCAGACTAGATGATTTCCAAGGTCTCTTGCACATCAGAAATTGGGGCATTTCTTTCATTTGCGTCCTGCTGGACACAGAAATGGAAGACCTCGACCCCTTTCTTAGGCCCGTGAGACCCTGTCCTTTGGCTGTGCCTTTTCAGCTGGCTTTACTGTACGGAAGGGGAGATGATTTGAGGCCTCAGTCCCAGGAATTGAGGCTGCTTTGTAGTCTTAGAGGTGAACTTGGGGACCTTTTGTCTCTGTGCAGATTTGTGTAGGGCTTGGACACACTGTCCTCTGGCCTGTCAGGCCCCGTCTGCAGGGATTCTGGTCCGTTCTGGGCTCTGCCTTTTAGGAAGGGACATTGACAGTCTGGAATGTGTCCAGATGAGGGGCCTGAAGGGCTGGAAGTTGTCGCCTCAAGGGGTGGATGAAAAGATATGGGCATGTTTGTTTACTGAAGAAGAGAATTTGGGGGCTGTGGCAGCAGTCTGGAAAAGGCCTTGGGCCTGGCCTGCTTGGGCTGCTGAGCTGGGAGGGCCAATGTGGACTTGACAGAAGCAGCTTCCTAACCAGGAGAGCCGTGCAGCTGTGGCCGAGCTGCTCTGTCACTGGAGAGCTTCGGGAAGTGGGTGGAGGAGTGTTTGTCAGAGGTTGGCCATCGCCAGCCCTGAGCTCCGGGCTGTGTCTCATGGGCATGTGTGCTCTTTACTGGTCTATACCAAAACCTTATTGCCAGTTAGGATTCCCAGAAGACCAGAGCTGGCTGGTTGTCCCAAGAGTCCCAAACCTTATCCCTTTGCCACCCCAGCACCAGCTGAGGCCAAGCATTCATTTACAAACTCCTGCCCTGGGTTTTCCTTCTCTTAAGAAGCCTGGGATACGAGTTATTTGTGGACTGACTGCCGACCAGCCATTCTGAGCTCCACTCACTGATCTCGGGATGTTAGAATCGCCTGTTCTTGGGGTATTTGCAGATTTCCAGTCTACACACATTTTAGGTGTCTCTCTCAAGATTGTTTTTAGATCACCTGTCTATGAGGTAGATATTGTCGGGGCCAGGCGTTTCGATGTACAGTGAAGGTCCCTGTGATGAGGAAGTAGCACAAGGAACAACAAGGAAGAGCTAGAGACCGGACTGTGTGAATGCACAGCCTGTCTGGAAGAGCCGGCTTTTCTGTGCTGATCCCAGTGTTTTTACTTGCAGGTGGACCAGAGCACGGACCCAGTGTGGACGGCCTGAGTGTGTCCCCGAAAGCTTCCTTAGGTACTCCCCTTCCCCTCCAGGAGCCTGAGCACCTGTCTTAGTTGTGAATTGTGGAAAGAGAGATGGCTGTGTTCATGTGGTTTGGAAGGTAACGCGGTATTCTGACGGCCATTCTGCCATCGGCGAAATCGAATTGATTCCTGGTGTTTTATTCCATATACGTGCTACATTACTTATCTTAGGCATTTTGAAAATGTATGCCTCATTCCACATCTGTAGTCCACCACTTCTCTGCTGAGAGTCAGGGGACACGCAAAAAAAATTAACTTTTGAGAAAAGTACCGTGTTACCATCTTTCTGTGCCACTTATAAAACAGAACAAACAGCAAAGGGTTTGGTTGAAGCTCTAAAAAGGAAATCACATTGATTTTTTTTAGCATGCTTTAAAAGGATTTTTACTTTTAACATCATTTAAAAAAATTTTTCTGTTTCCAATTCTCTCCTTCCTTCCCAACCCAGCCCCTTTCCAGAGGCTCCGCCAGCTGCCGCGTAAACAGGGAGCTCTGCAAATCAGTGTGCTCCTGCATGCGACTCCTGCTCTTTGGCCCTGTTGGTGCATTGTCTGACCGACGGCCATGAACACGCCCAGGCTGAAAGCACCGAAAATTCTGTTGTTGAAAGTCCCTCTGGTGCTGGGCCTGGGTCTTCCATGTAGCATGTTAATTCAGAAGATGTGTTATCTTTGTAACTCTGATTTACAGTTAAATCTCTAGAGTTAGTGTTTTTGTGGACGTGGGAAACAAAATCAAAAGGCTGAAGACAATATTATTTCTGTTTAGCTGAAGTAATAATTTTTTTTTTGGCAGATGTTTCCTCTCTCATAAAAAAGAAACCAACCCAGGCTAGAAAGGGGGTGAGTATCATGTGCACACTGGCCGGTCCCGTTGTTCCGGGCCTGTTTGTCCCCTCAGAAAGTCAGGCCTTTTGCTTTTGAGCGACTTTTTTGAGCCACTTGGTGATGGGTCTGAGTGGGACCGGGGGCTGGTTATGGGGGTTTGTAATGGGACAGGGAGTGAGGTAGACAAGAGGAGCTTCGTAGACTGCCTGAGCATAATCTTAGCCGTCACACACGAGTGAGCATGGTGGGAAACAAGTGGCCCTTTGTGAACGAGGCAGTCACTCCACCGTCCCGGTGACCGTGAGTCTTCTCTTCCAGCTCGGGGGCAAGAAGGGAGGCTTGGGGGCCCAGAAAGTGAGCAGTTCGAGCTTCAGTGACATTGAAAAGCAGGCCCAGGCGGTAGAGAAGAGGAAGGAGCAGGACGACCTCCAGGCTCCCAAGGAAGAGTCCATGTACGTGGGGGAAAGGGTGCGAACCCTGGGGTCCTCCCGGTGTAGGGGCAGCAGCTTCACCCGGGCCTGACACCATGTTAGTGTGTGGGACGGCTCCGCCGCTGCCTCCGCAAGGCACTTTGCCTCTGCTGGCCTCAGTCTCTCCAACTGTCAAATGGGGATAATAACAGCTCCCAACTCCAAGGGGTGTTTTGGGGCTCAGATGAGATAATACTTGTCAAGTGTTGAGCCCAGATCCTGGCACACAGTAGGCGCCTAATGAGTGCTCATTCCCTCTTACCTGTGTTGATGGTCTCTTGCATGTGCCCACTAGGTGGCAGCAGAGGCTCTGTGTTAACGAGGCCTTGGGACAAGCTGCGATTGACGCTGGTGCTTTATTAATGACATGAGATGAAGACAGCTTCATCCTGGAGATCTGGAGGGCTCTTCAGACATGAGTTTGGAGCCCCACTCCTTCCCCCACTTCCCCGAGGGCTGTCACTGACCATAAACAGACCCACGCAGGGTCCTCAGGGCCACGGCAGCCGCCCACGTGCCCCTGCCTCTGCATCCAGGCGCGGGGCCAGCAGTGTGGAGACAGAGACTTACCCACTTTGCAGTCAGAGGCTCTGAATTCAGATTCTGACCATCACTTGTCACTTGCCTACTGGGGGCCTGTTTCCTCTTCTGTAGACACATGATCTCTGAGCTCCCATGAGCCTAAACTCTGGCCAGTTTTCCAGCTGCCCTTTCATTGAAGGCCAGGCTGCAGCGAGGGCCGAGCAGGGCTGTGGACGCCTCCTGTCAGTGCAGCCGCTGCAGAGGCTGCTCCCGTGAGCCTACCTCTGGTGCGAGGGCGCAGGCTGAGTCCTCAGAACTTTAACCTGCCCGTTTCTCTTCCCATCTCGTCTTCCATCCCAGCACGCTTCCATCCTCAGCAGCAGCAGCACGGCCAGCGCCCATTCACATCTCTGTCTAGACCTACTATTTCCCTCTAGGAATCCCGCTGGAAACAGTCGTCCGCAACTGCTTTGTTAATGGGCAGGATGGGCGTGGGCTCTCTGAAGAGTGGAGTCCACAGACTAAGGGCACCCCAAGGAACTGCCAGCTGAAGTGCTGGAGTCAGCCTTTGGGGCCTTGGAGAGAGGGAGGAAACCCTGCCATCAAACCCAAACAGGATTAAGAACATTTTAATTCATTGTGGCATTTCTCTGGTGCCTTTCTTCATATTCATGGTGTTTTTCATTATTTCTTAAGGGGATAACCATTTCTTGAGAGTATAATAATAATATAATAAGAGTGTAATAATCCACTTGCTTTTTTAAAATGCTGTTATCCTTTGTCTTTTCAAACATAAATCTGGCTGCTGCTATCGAGGAAGTAATTGTACTTTGGTATGATGAGGCTTTTCCCCCAGAGTTACCACTCGAATTGAGTTGTCATAGGTCTGAGGACGGAGGCGTGTCTGCATGCCAGAGGGGGTGGTCAGGGAGCTCTGGAGGAGGCAGGTGCCACGTATTGGAGCCCCTTTCAGTGCACGAAGGGACGCGGAGCCTGGGCCAGGCACACTGGGGAGCCCACTGTGAAAGGAACCCCGCCTGTAGAAAACCTTTCAAGAATCACCCCGTAATTTTAAAATTTTTTACAATGCACATAAAAGATGAATCAGCAGTACAGCTAAACAAGCTAAATCCTACCCAAAATGCCCCCCAAAATACCCAAAATTTGAACTCTTGATGTTTTGATTTATTTGAACAAAGCCCTCCCCACTGTGGGCCACCTCAGAGAGGTGACACTGAGTGCCTGAGGCTCTGCTCAGCTGCAGAAGCTTGCGCTGGGGGCCCGGGAACGGGACGGGGCCTCACTGCAGCCTGGATCTGAGGACCGTCCATCACTTCTCCCGTCTGTCAGACCCAGACCCACGTCTGCCTCCAGCCTCATCTCTCCATGATTCCAGTCTTGCGTTGTCGACCACGTGCCGCACATCTCCTGGAGCACATCGTGCTGGGGCATCAGCATCTCAAACTTGACCTCCCCGAAACAGAACTTAGGGTCGTCTTTCCTGAACTCTTCTCCAGATGGCCCCCTTTCTGGAGAAGGTGCTGCCGGGCTCTCCCTTGCCCCTCATCACCCTCCATGGCATCGCACGCAGCCTCCTCCCTTCTCCACCCAGAGGGTAACTGCCCACCTTAGACCCTTGCCACATGAGCTTTTCCATTGGCCTCTTCATTGGTGGCACCGCTTCCCATCTCATCCCTCCAGCCATCCTCTTTGGAAAGGCCAAAATAGCCCTCAGAAAGCTCTCACAACTCCCAGGCTCACTGCCTGCAATCCCCAGCTTCTTCTTTTTTTTAAAATAATTGTTTATTTTTAGTTTTCAACATTCACTTCCATAAGATTGAGTTTTAAATTTTCTCCTCCTCCCACTCCTCCCCCTAAGATGGCATGCAATCTGATATATTAAGCATATTTTCCCATTAGTCATGATGTAAAGAACAATTAGAACTAATGGGAGGAACCACGAGAATGAAGCAATAAAACAAAACAGCAAAGGAAAAGGAGAGCAAGTAGTACACTTCCATCTGCATTCAGATTCCATAGTTCTTTCTCTGGATGTGGACAGCATTTCCCATCATGAGGCCTTTGGAGATGTCTTAGATCCTTGCATGGCTGAGAAGGGCTAAGTCTATCAAAGTCAGTCATCACACAGCATGGCTGTTACTGTGTACAGCATTCTCCTGGTTCTGCTCACCTCACTCGGCATCAGACCATACAAGTCTTTCCAGGTTTTTCTGAAGTCTGCCAGCTCATCATTTCTTATAGCACAATAGTATTCCATTACATTCATAAACCACAACTTGTTCAGCCATTCCCCACCTGATGGGCATCCCCTCAATTTCCAATTCTTTGTCAGTACAAAAAGATCTGCTATGAATATTTTTGTACATGTGGGTCCTTTTCCCATTTTTATGATCTCTTTGGGCTATGTAGCCCTAGAAGTATTATTGCTGGGTCGAAGGGTATGCACATTTTTATAGCCCTTTGGGCATAGTTCCAAATTGTTCTCCAAAATGGTTGGATCATTTCACGACTCCACCAGCAATGCATTAGTGTTCCAATTTTCCCACATCTTCTCCAACATTTATCATTTTCCTGTTTTATCATGTTGGCCAATCTGAAAAAGTGTGATGTACCTCCGAGTTGTTTTGATTTGCATTTCTCTAATCCATAGTGATTTAGAGCATTTTTTTATGTGACTATAGATGGCTTTAATTTCTTCATCTGAGAACTGCTTGTTCATATCCTTTGACCATTTATCAATTAAAGAATGACTTGGAGTCTTATAAATTTGACTTAGTTCTCTATATATTTTAGAAATGAGGCCCTTGGGGCAGCTAGGTGGTGCAGTGGATAGAGCACCAGCTCTGAAGTCAAGAGGACCTGAGTTCAAATTTGACCTCAGACCAAACACTTGACGTTTACTAGCTGTGTGACCCTGGGCAAGTCACTTAACCCCAATTGCCTTAAAAAAAAAAAAAGAAAAGAAAAGAAAAAGAAATGAGGCCCTTATTAGAGACACTGGTTATAAAAATTCTTTCCCAGTTTTCTGCTTCCCTCCTAATCTTGGTTGCATTGGCTTTGTTTGTGCAAAAACTTTTCAATTTAATGTAATCAAAATTATCCATTTTGTATTTCATAATGTTCTCTATCTCCTGTTTGGTCATAAATTCTTCTGTTCTCCATAAATCTGACAAGTGAACTATTCCTTGCCCTCCTAGTTTGCTTATAGTATCAGCCTTTATATCTAAATCATGAACCCATTTTGACTTTATTTTGGTATGTCGTCTAAGATGTTGGTCTATGCCTAGTTTCTGTCATACTCTTTTCTAGTTTTCCCAGCAGTTTTTGTCAAAGAGTGGGTTCTTATCCCAGAAGCTGGGGTGTTTGGGTTTGTCAAATAGTAGATCACTATAGTCATTGACTACTGTGTCTTGCATACTTAACCTATTCCACTGATCCACCACTCTATTTCTTAGCCAGTACCAAGCAGTTTTGATGATTGCTGCTTTATAATATAATATAAGGCCACCTTCCCCTGCATTTCTTTTCATTCATTCCCTTGATATTCTGAATTTCTTGTTCTTCCAGATGAATTTTGTTATTGTATTTTCTAGCTCTATAAAATAATTTTTGGTAGTTTGATTGGTATGGCACTGAATAAGTAAACTAATTAAGATAGAATTGTCATTTTTGTTGTATTAGCTCGGCCTACCCATGAACAACTGATGTTTTTCCAGTTATTTAGATCTGACTTTATTTGTGTGAAAAGTGTTTTGTAATTGTATTCATAGAGTTCCTGGGTTTGTTCTGGCAGGTAGACTCCCAAATACTTTATAATGTCTATAGTAACTTTAAATGGAATTTCTCTTTCTCTCTCTTGCTGTTAGGCTTTATTGGTAGTATATAGAAATGCCCATGATTTATGTGGGTTTATTTTATATCCTGCAACTTTGCTAAGTTTGTTTATTATTTCAAGTAGTTTTTTACTTGATTCTCTAGGATTCTCTAAGTATAACGTCATATTATCTGCAGAGAGTGATAGCTTTGTTTCTTCTTTGCCTCTTGTAATACCTTCAATTTCTTTTTCTTCTCTTATTGCTAAAGCTAAAGTTTCCAGTACGACATTGAACAACAGTGGTGATAACGGACATCCGTGTTTCACCTCCCTCCCTCATCTTGTTGGAAATGCTTCTAGCTTGTCCCCATTGCATGTAATGCTTGCTGATGATTTTAGATAGGTGCTACCTATCATTTTAAGGAAGACTCCGTTTATTCCTCTGCTTTCTAGTGTTTTTAATAGAAATGAGTGTTGTATTTTGTCAAATGCTTTTTCTGCATCTGTTGAGATAATCATACAGTTTACCTAATTTGTTAAAGTTTTCTTTGTCCCTGTTTCTCTTGAATTAGCTAAAGCCCATAGTACCAGCCTCAGTGCTTTTGATATGCAGGCTGGTTCAAAAAAAGATTCAGAATCCCTGGTCTGAGGGAAAGTTGAGTCAACCAGCATTTAATAAGCGCCTACTGTGTGCCAAGGGGGTACAAAGAAGGACACAGTCCGTGCCCTGGAGGATGATGAGGATGGATGTCCATGTTCCTCCTGGGCAAACCCGAGGGCTAATTCCACCCCAGCACCCACTCTGGGAGTGACCCTTCCCCTCAGCTGCACCCAGACCCTCCTTGGTAGAGATGTCACCAGAGGTTGTCCCCTGGTCCCCAGAAGAGCCTGAAGGATGAGGTGTCCAGGGAGCCTCCCTCAGGTGGTTTCAGGTTTTCTTGGCCCGTTGTGAGCTGTCGTGGGTGACTAAACTGTCCACACGCTGGCAGATGGATGGGAGAGGCTGCCTGTAAACTGTGTGTTCCCTCTCGCTCTGGGCCTAGAGGAAGGACGTAGAGGTGAAGTTTGGAGCTGAGACTGGGGACGTGGCGAGACTGTTTACTGTGAAGGTCACTTCCTCTGTTCTACTCTCTATTTTTATTAGCAGATCACCCATTTTCACCACTAAAAACAAACACGCAGAGTGGTGATAAAATTGAAATCTCATGCTGAGTAAGAAATCATGTTTTTTACAGTGTCCCTTCATTCTGCAAACATGCATTAACTCTTCCCTGCAAGCAGAACCCTGTGCCGTGTGTTAGGGGAGATAGAGAATTTGGGCAGGACACAGCCTGTAACGTCCTGAGGTTCGCAGTCGGCGATCACGACGGCGTTTGGGAGTTACCCGTGTGCTTTGCTCCACAGCTGTCTCCTCAGCTAGAGCTGTAGACCCGATGCCAGCTAATAGTATGGGCTCCCCAACAGGGAGAGAGGGGGGCTCTCATGCCATCATCTCATGGTGTGAGTGGAAGCCTGGAGAAGCAGGGCATCTCAACCAGTTCTGTGTTCTGCCCACATTTCTGAGGCATATTCTTCACTGAATGAGAACGTGATATACGGGGGGGGGGGGGCAATAAGAGTTTGAGGGATAGAAACGGCTGCCCTTGGCTTGGAGGGGCTGTGGCCACAGGCCAGACTTCACCCCAAATGGGCTAGGCAGGAGTGTTAGAGTTCACACTTAATTTCATGTAGTCTTGATGGAGTTAGTGATAAATTAATATGTAGTGGTTGGACTGTGTGTGTGGTTTTTTTAGGGTGTCATCGTTACGATTGGCCTACAAGGATCTGGAGATTCAAATGAAGAGAGATGAAAAGATGAATTTTAGTGGCAAAAAGAAAATAGAATCAGAAAGGCTCGGCATGGGGTTTGGGAACACCAGAAGGTATGTGAGCTGGTGCTTTTTCTCATTTAAATGGATTTCAAATCTGTTTGGTTTTCTAATCCGGTTAGGTCTTAAATGTGGGGGATTGGGTCCGTGTTAATAAGTGGCTTTATTGATTGGATAATTTGATATGGCTGGAAAATATTCCATTCTCTTAGACAAAAGCAAACTGAGTAATCCACCTCAAAGGGTGGGTACAGTGGGGCGGTTACTCCTTCTTTGAAATATGATCGCTGGAAACCAAGGTGGGGGGTTGGGAACACAGTTTACTTGTGAAAAGAATTTTTAAAAAAAGTTGAAGACTGACGGACAAGTCCCACTATCATGGGTTTGGTTGCATCTCTATTTTAATTTTCCCGTCCAAAGTTATTTTTCTTGAGCATTTTGCACATCTATTCCCTATAAGCAGAATATTTTTTGCTAGAAGTAAAAATTAATGTTTGAGTTGAGTAATGCATTTTTGTAGCTGATTGTTAATGTGTTTCTTATTTTCTTTACAGTGGAATTTCCCACTCTGTGGTCTCAGACATGCAGACCATAGAACAGGAGACACCCGTTCTGGCCAAACCGAGGAAGAAATATAGTGATGACAAGGAGGATTCCTATTTCACTTCGTCCAGTACAAGGTAACACGTTAAAATTACGAGTGTGCAGGGTAGTGAATCTAGACCCATTAACTGCGTGACGCAAAGAATCTTCCCTTTTATCTTGTCACAGTGTGGCCCTTCTGGAGTCCCTGGGCCAGCAACCCGGCCCTTAGCTCTGGGGTTCAGGAGGCTCGTGGGAGCCAGCGTGAGCCAAACAGATTCAGAAGAGGTTGATTTCTCAAAGAACATGACGGTCTATTTGTGTATTGGGTGGGGTTCCATCTGGCAGAATAACTGGGCCTGGGAATTGATACAACACATCCTACCCAAGTGGGTGGGTTTACTCCAGAGACCAGATTGCATATGGGAAGTCTGTGTGGGAAGGAAGTGCAGAGTTGGGGCACAGAGTGGGTGTCTCAGGTTTGTGCGTCGGTGGCAAATTCCGACCGTCCTGCTGTGACTTGTGCCGGCTTCTCTGTTTATGTACACATATGTGTACAAACATGTCTTCGGTTCTTTAGCAATCACTGTGTCTACAGAGGTGGAGGGCTGGGGCCTCTTCCTGTTCTGACAGGGGAGTGAGTGAGTCGTGTGGCCAGCCCTCGGGCAGGGAGGCCACCAGACTTAGCTGGGCCAGTCTTGCCATAGCAGACGCGCGCATACACACACACAGAGCCCATCCAGCTTGAAAGGTGTAGGCCAGCGTAGGCCACCCTCCAAGGCTCATTGTCCTCATCTATCAACTGAGGATGATAATATCTGCATTGCTATCTTGTGGGCATTTTGTAGGATCAGATGAGGTGGTGGAGGAAAAGTGTTTGTCAAGCCTTAAGACCCCAAAGAAATGCCCCCTCTCATCGGGGAAAGGTCCGTAGCAGGTGCAGCCTCTGAGGGGGTGGGCTTTGGGTGCTGAGCAGGTATTCAGGAGGCAGAGAAGGATGATGTTCCAAGAACCGCAGCAGGCTGAGCCAGAGCCTAGGGGAGGGAGAGCTGGGCCCCTCTGCCGAGGGCACGGCCAGGAAGAAAGCGAGCAGGAGGACCCGGAAAGCTCCTGAGGCAGTTGTGAGTCAGTGGAAGTTTTTAGGAGAGGAGTGAAAAGACCAACTGGGCAGCATTAGGAGCGGCGGTTGTGGTGGGAAGAGAGAGAGAGAGATTTGAACCCTACCTCTGGCCCTGAGAGCTCTGGTGCCCCTGGGCAAGGCCCTCAGTTTCCTTCTTTGTAAAGTAGGAATAACATCTGTGCTACCTGCTTAGGCAGGTAGCTGTGAGTATGGAGAGAGAGAGAGGGAGGGAAAGAAAGAGAGGGAGCATCTGGTGGTGGCTGACGGCTCTTGTGATTCTGAGAGCAGCCATGGAGGTCCAGGGGCCAAAGGGAGTGGGGCCTCCAGCCACACCCACAGTCAGTAGCAGACTCATTGAGGTCAAAGGGATTTTCTCCCTCCAGAAATGGACGTCATTTGTGGTTTGCCCTTTAAAAAGGCACCACTGTAAGGTGGGGCGAGCCCCTCTACCTCGAGGGGGCATCAGCCAGAAGCGTCGCCCCCAGGCTGTGGTCTGCCGTACTCTAAGCAAGGTCTTTCCAGTGCATCGCCCCAAAGGCTGGGAGCATCTGCATCTGTGCATCTCTGGAGAGTTCGCTCATGCTCCCTGGCTCCTTCCTCACTTGCTGCAGCATCATGGTGTCTCCTGCTGGGAGGGACCTTGGAGATGGTCAGCCAACCCCCTCTGGGGTCTAGACGAGGAAACGAAGGAAGGCCTGAGAGAAGTGACCCCGGCCCACAGTCCATGTCACAGCCAACCTTCGGGCTCTGCGCCAGCGGCCTTTCCCCTCTACTCCCCTGTCTCTGATTCCTTATAATCTGTTCTGTTGTCGTTTGTCCTTCCTTCTCATGAGGGTGATGTCAGGGCTTCCCCAGGAATTGGATTTAAGTGAGGCAGAGCCACAACTCCTCAGCCTCACTCTCGCCTCCGTAGAGGCCAGTGGTAGGACAAAGGCAAGACGACTGGCGATGGCGGGGATGCAGTGGATGACGGGGCCTTTCCCAGGACTCAGTTTGTCAGAGGCCGTGCCCATTCAGTGACTGAAGGCCAGGGAAAAATTGAGACAAAAGATGGCTGAGTTTACTGTCCCAAAAATATCGGTCTGGGAGGGGAACTCCCTCAAAGTTCTGTCCAGTGCAGAAAACGATTGCTATTTACACTCATTCTGAGGCACCTGAACAGTGATCCCCAAAGGGTGTTTTTGGCCATTCAGTGAAGGTTTGAAGGCTGGGCAGGTAGCTCCCTTTGAAGCACGATGCCCTGGTCCTGAGAGTCATGGGGCTCCTTTAAAACCAGCATTGTTCTGTGAAAAAAACAGAGCCTGTTTTTTCAGAGTTACATTTCAAGAAATCATAAATGAAAACTATGCAGGACAAAAAGTAAGTTGTCCAACTTTTAGGGAAAAAAATCTAATCCCCAGGGGCAGCTAGGTGACGTAGTAGATGGAGCACCGGCCCTGGAGTCAGAAGGATCTGAGTTCAAATCCCGCCTTAGACACATAATACTCACTAGCTGGCAAGTCACTTAACCCCAGTTGCCTCAAATACACACAAAAAAAATTTAAAAAAATCTAGACCCCAAAATATAAGCGACCAAAAATGGTATTCCTAGGGATGTAAGGAAGGCTGTGGCCCCCAAGTGAAGAGAGAGCACCCCCGTGTGGTGAGGGGCTGCAGGCTTGTGTGTGTGTAAGGGCAGCAGGACTGCATCTCCAGCCTCAGCTTCCTCCCCCTTCTCCAAGACGGCCTTTGGTTCCTGGCCAGAGCTTTGGTTCAGCACTGGTTCTGGCGGTCTGCAGGCCCTCAGGTCTGCCGGGGTTCTTCCAATCCAGTCCACGTCATTCCTTTGAAAGAGCCAGCATTGGGCAGGTCAACCATTTGGGAAGGGAGGCGTCGGTGTGGACAGGCTTTCAGAGTGCATGCATGTCCGAAACGATAGTGGATGTGACAGACAAGTGAAGGTGCCCCTGAAGACAGAGTTGTTCACCCCGCTGTCCTTCTCTTCAGCTCGGTCCAGTCACCAGCCGCTGTGGCCAAGCCATCTGTTTGGCCAGGCCTTCGGTGCCTTCTCCTCCTCCTGCAGTCATTTCATTTTCATTCATCCATCACAGCACAGTGAGGAGAGATTGTCCCAGAGGCACATTTCAGACTAACCAGTGTTGCCACTTTCGACGATGTCAGTGAGAGAAAATGATCAAACTAAAGGGACCATAGTGTTTTTTAAGAAAACCGTGGATTTCACAGGACTTGAGAGTTGGAAGGGGTCTCAGCGGGCATGTAGTCCGTACCTCATGAATGGGCACGCAGCCTCTGCTTGAAGCCCACCCCACACCCTTCTGGGGAGCCCACCAGCCCGTGCCACTTTGGACAGCGCTCTGGCTTAGGAAGCTTTTCTGGACCTCGCGCTTACAGTGGTCTCCTTGCAGCTCCTGCTTCTCGTGCCACCTCGAGAGCCAAAAGGAACAAGTCTGATTCCATCCACAGGACGGTCCCTCAGATACTTGGAGACAGACAGCTCTCCCTGAGGCTTCTCTCCTTTAGGCTCACCGTGCTCCATTCTGGAAACCCATCCCAACATGTGGTGACTTGAAGGCCCTTTCCTGTCCTGGTGTCTCTCCTCTGGACACTCCACGTTGTTGGTGCCTTCCTATGCTGAGGAGTCCAGAGTCCAGGGCCATCCAGGAAAGAGACCCTACCGAGTTAGGTCTCAGAGGACGGGTGGACTGGTGGTAGAGATGGAGGCTCTACCAGACGTAGGGAAGGGCAGGAGAGGGTGGGACAGGATGGGAGGAAGA